TAAACCGCTTAAGCTTAGATATTCTAGGACATTTATCTATCTTACTTTCCCGTTTTAAAACTAATTTTGTGTTATTGCCCTTTTTAGGTACTTATCCCCAAAATAAGCTAATTCAGCCAAATAAGAGCTTAAAAGAAGCTAACTCAAGCTGATGGAAGAAAGGAGCAAAGTGGAAACAAATTGAAGCAAAGTATGGAATTCAGCAGGTTTGATCGATCTCAGAATATATTCGATCGATTGAAAGTTCATCGATCTAAGCAGTTCAAGACGAATCTGAGCTTTTGTTCTTATCCATAAGATTCCACAAAGTTCGATCGATCTCAACAGCTATTCGATCGATCGAAGTGCTCGATTTTATCCACATGTACTACTCCAGCTGCCACTTTTGTCTTCTTCCCAAAAATATCTCAGAGATTTGTCCTTATTCAAAAAGGCGCAGCCATAGATGATCGATCTCTGCAGTATTCGATGGATCTCAGCCATGTTCGATCGATCTCACCATAGTTCGATCGACTGAACTTCCTTAAGCCCGAAAAAAGACAAAATCCAGCTCATTAAAGGTTGGCTCATGGTACAATCATTGGAGGAATATTGATGTGCGAGCCTAAACTATTAGGTGTGACATTTTAACCTACCTATATAAGGAATATGAGCCACTTTTTACACATATGCTTAAATACATACTTTTGGGTAGATAGTTTTTAGAGACAATTCTTAGAGAGGAAGAAAAGAAAAGAGGAGGCTAGAGACATTCTTAAGAGGTTTTCCATCTACTTCAAGAAGATGAGCATATTTACCATGGAGATAGCCCTTGAGGGTTGGAGGACACCATCCATGAGTGGCTAAACATTCTCTTGAGACTAGAGTTAGCCCTAAGCATGCTTTCTTTATCTTGATTCATGTATTTTTTAGGGGATTTGTGTTATAATACATGTTTTGACATATTTATATACATAAATTTTGTTTATTCAATGATTTGTGTGGTTTAATTCTTCCAAGTGACCATTTCATTATATCAATATGTCTATGTATGCTAGAATAGATGTTCATGTGTTTATCTCTATTTCTTGTGTTGTTGATGCATGTCTATGTGTATTAATGTTATAGATTTAGATATTGTCAAGACATAGTGCTTAATAGAATGCTCTTGTGGTTTATTTGATGGTTCATACTCATTGCTTGATGGATTGTGCCTTTCTCTTAGTTTAATTTTCATGTCATTAGCTTAGATGTAATGTAGTTACCTTAGTTGTTAAATGGGAGGACAATCCATGCTTATTATTTGATATTCCATACTTATGAATGCAAGTAGTATATTTCTTTAATTTTGTGATGTGTTTGGATTGTGATCTTAACGGAGGATTAATGGCTTACTTTGATATATTGTGTTATTCATTATGTTGTCTAGACAATATACACTTAATTAGTCATCCGTGCTTGTTGAAACAACCACACACACTCACTATTGTTGCAACATATGTCTTCCCCTCATTAATTGTGAATTGAGTATAGAGAAAAGTGATGCTTAGTGATGATCTCTAAGTGCCAAGATCTCTCTCTCTCTTGTTTTCTCTTTCCTTTAATTACTTACTTGATATTGATCTTGTTTAATTTTAATTGTAGTTTAATCAACCAAACAACCTACCTTTGATCACTCGACCTACTAACCCTAAGCCTTGTTTCCACTACTAGTGCACCCTCAATCCCTTGGGACGATCCCTATTCACCTTTGCTATATTTTTAGTTAGTGGTAGTAGTGGCATTTATAAATGTAAAACTTGGCCATACTATTTTACACAAATTTGATTGCACATTGTGGCGTGCACACCACCTATAAACGTCAACGTGAAGCCTCGTTGTCTATCTCTTCTCTGACTCCGATGACTCTGTTCTCCTCCGTTAAGGTTACTAATGGTACAGTTTTAAGTCACAATCAACCCTAAACATTATTTTGGTTCTATATACATAATTTAAACAAGTTAAAATCATAAATCATGCAATAAACTTTAAACAGAAATCAAACATATACACATACAATTAACATACTGCAATTCAAGTTTTAGCATGTATACATGGCTGATTTTAATAACTTAAATTTCCTGGAGTTTCCCTAGGCATACACAGAACACAGATCAAAGGGAAGGAGATAGAAATAGAACTTGCCTCTAAGATTTTGGATTGAAATCTTTCTTTTTCTTCCTAGTTCTCTGGCGACTCCTTATCTGCCGTCAACCTCTCTGCTGCATGTCCTAACCCACGCGTAACCCTCTCTTTCTTCCTTCTTGGTCCAGCCCTAATCTTGGTCGAGCCACTCTCTAAGCTCTCTGTATTCTCTATGCCTTCACATAACATGAGTAGGGTTTTATCAACCCTCTGGCAGACAATACGAATATACATATATACCCTACATACTAACCCTAATCCTCTTCTAATCCAACTCACGTAGGCTAGGGAAAAAGAAATAAAAAAAAATAAAAGAAATAAAAATATATATATTATAATTACTATATTACTACTAAGAAATAATTATAAGTCTTCTTATAATATATTTAGATACATATAACCATAACAATATATATATATATATATATATATATATATATATATGTAATTCTACTAAAACTCCCCTGTAATACTACAAATTCTAAATAATAATAATACATACCATCCTTATTCATGTATATACATATATACACTTTAATATATACATATATACATCAAATTGATTCCATCTTTATTATTAATATTAATTGCAATTATAATACTAATAATAATATCCTTATATATAAATAATTACACACATCAATGTAAAAATATATCTATATATATCCAAAGCCCATGGGTTATACTCCATACCCATGTAAGCTTCATATCCTAGTAGTCCATGTGACCCAATTCTTTGGTCCATTACTACTGTCCAAATCCATGTCCTTTAATTTAAATAAAATAACATAAAACCATATACACAATTAAAATATTTCACTACACATAACAACAAACCAATTTACAATGAAGTCACATAAATCACACAATTCAAATTAAACAAGCAATTCAAATGAACATATAAACAAATAACCAAATAATCATATAATTTTATAAAAATGAAATTAAATTAATTAAATAAATACCAAGACTATCCTTTTAAAATTAGGGGTATTACAAGTTTGCAAACCATATTATTTTCATTATCTGAATGAAAACCTTCAGGTTGTTTCATGTATACCTCCTCATTCAAGTCTCCATTAAAAAATTTCGTTTTCACATCCATCTGATGTAACTTTAAATCAAAATGAGCTACCAATGCCATGATAATACGAATGGAATCCTTTGTAGAAACGGGAGAAAGTGTATCATGGTAACCAATGCCTTCCCTTTGGGTATACCCTATGGCTACAAGTCTGGCTTTATATCGTTTAATCTTGCCTTTGGGGTCTCTTTTAGTCTTATAAACCCATTTATAGCTAACTACATTAGCCCCTTCTGGCAATTGAACCAAATCCCAGACTTGATTTTTAGCCATAGAGTCTAGTTTCTCTAACATGGCATCATATCATAACCTTGAATTTTTTCCACTCATGGCTTGTGAAAACGTAATTGGGTCTTTATCAATTCCAATATCATGGTCAATTTCTTGTAAATATACAACATAATCAGAAGGGATCGCAGGTTTTCTTACTTTTGAGGACATTCTTAACTCTATCTATTCATTTAGAACAGGTTCATTGACAACAGGATTCTCGTGGGTAGGAACTTCTTGATTTACCTATTCTTCCATAATAACATCTTGAAAATGTCTTAAAGTACAGGTAAAGGTTCTTTAGTCACAGGTCTAACAACCAAATCTCGTGTTTCCTCAAAAATTAAATTTCGAGGTTGTTCACTCACACTAATGTCAACATCCTTAAGAAACCTAACATTTCTCGCCTCAACAAAAATGGGTTTATGCGAAGGACAATAAAACTTGAACCCTTTGGACTTTTCTGCATAGCCAATAAAAAACTCACTTATTGTCTTTAAGTCCAACTTTTTTTCAATAGGATTGTACACCCTGACCTCAACTAGATAACCCCATATGTGTACGTGTCCTAAACTTGGTTTCCAACTATTCCATAACTCAAAGGGTGTTTTTGGAACCGATTTGGTTGGAACCTTGTTTAAGATATACACAGTAGTTTTTAAGGCCTCACTCCATAAAGATAAAGGGAGATAAGAATTACTAATCAAACTTCTTACCATGTCTATTAACGTTCGATTCTTTCTTTCTACTACACCATTTTGTTCTAGTATGCCTGGCATCGAATATTGCGCTATAATGCCATTCTCCATAAGGAATTTTGCAAATGGACCTGGTCTGCAATTTGTCCTTGTTCTGTATATCTACCATAATATTCTCCTCCTATATCCGATCGCACTATCTTGATTTGTTTTCCCTTTGTTTCTCTACTTCCACCTTATATGATTTAAAAGCATCAAGTGTTTCACTTTTATCATTTAGAAGGTAAAGATGCATAAGACGTGTGCAATCGTCAATAAAGGTAACAAAATATTTTTGACCATTGAAACATGAAATTTGAAAAGGTCCACATATATCAGTGTGTATGATCTCTAAAACTTGAGAACTCCTTCTAACGCCCTTATTGGTTTTGTTAGTCTACTTACCCTTTATGTCGTCCATACAAATACCAAAATCAGAAAAATCAAGAATATCAAGTACTCCATCATTTACTAATCTTTTAATTCTTTGTAAGGTGATATATCCTAATATCCTGTGCCATAATGAAAGAAGATTTCTCTATTTTACCCTTACGTTTGACGCTATTATTTCCATGCAACGGTAAGTGGTTATGATCAATATTAGGGTTTAAATCTAATTTATATAAACCATAAACCAAAATACCATTACCAATAATAACAGAATCTTTTACAATACTTAAAGAAGTATTAAAGAAATTTAAACTAAAACCAAATCCAACAAATTTCGAAATAGAAATCAAATTTTTTTATAAAGTTGGAATATAAAAAGATCTTTCAAGTTCTAATATAAAGTCAGATGGTAATGTGAGTCTGTAAGTTCCAACCACCTCTACATGTGAACTCATCTTGTTTCCCGAATAGATGAAACGTTCACTTTTCGTCGGTCTCCTTAGGTTGATTGAACCCTGCATGGTATTGGCAATGTGAATTGTAGAACCAGAATCTATCCACCAAGCATCATTAAATGTATTAACAACATTTGATTCATAACACACAAAGGAAAAGAGATTACCCATTTTAAGCAGTCAAGCCTTATACTTAAGACATTCCTTTTCATGTGCCCTTTCTTTTTGCAGAAGAAGCATTTGATGATACCCTTATCGTCAACTTTGCTAGTTGATGCATTCCCTTTCTTCTTAAATTGCACACCCTTTTTGATATGTCCATTTCTATGAGTCACTAGATAAGCACTTTCTAGCTTTTCCTGATTCAATCTCCCTTCCTCTTGAACACACATGGTAAACAATTCATTAACTGACCATTTTTCTTTATGTGTGTTATAAGAAATCTTGAATGGCCCAAATTCAGCAAGCAGGGAGTTGAGTATAAATTGGACAAGGTTTGTCTCTGAAAAGGTAAACTCCAATGAGTTCATTTGGGCAGCTATATCTCTCATTTCCATAATATGTTCACGGACCTCTTTATCACCCATATGCTTCATTGATGATAATTTGGTCATTAGGGTGCTAGCCAATGCTTTATCAGAACTTATAAACTGTTGTTCAATTGCTGTCATATATTCTTTTACCTTAGTACATTCAGGAATTGAACTCGTTATGTTTTTCCCAACATGACTTTTAATGAGACACATACTTAAGCGATTTGATCGCTCCCACCTCTTATAAGAAACCTTTTCACTTGGCGTACTTGATTCCGTGGGGATGGGTGGTTCATCCACACAAACTGCCAAATCAATGTCCATACACCCCAATGTTAGAAGTATTTTCTCCTTCCAATCCGAATAATTATCACCAGTTAAAAATAGGATATGAGATGAACCAATATTGATAAAACCAGATGAAATTACTGCAAAAAGAAAACATGCCAAACATTATTCTACTATACAATAAACTTTATTGGAATTCTTAACCCACGTTAAAAAATTTCATATCAAAACAATATGTCATTATAACCTTTCTATGGGCAGAGATTTTAATACACTAAAGTTTTGAAAATATAACCATAATGGGATAAAACATTCTTTACTGGTATTAAACTGATAATGATACAGTCCTGTGGGCATTTGTATTCATTGCCAGTTTAATTCCATATCCCCCTCTCTCTTTTTTATCCACGTTCATTCATAAACAATGATTATTTCTCTGTAGGGCAGAAAAAAACATTTTTTATGAATGAACTATAACCTTTTAATGCATAAACTTTATGTGATATAAATATCATATATTAAAACTTTATTTTATATCACAGAATCAAACAACTAAAGATGCTCTGGCTGCTCTCTAGTTAAAAATATGTATTAAAATAATAATCATACTCATACGGCATGTATAAGAGTATACTGGATAAAAAAAGATTTAATATGCAGTAACTGTACAACTCTGGAGTATTCTTCATTTGTATAGAAATTTTTAAAACTATACAACTCCAGAGTAAACTACATAACGATATATATATATATATATATATCATTATAAAACAATTCTTTATGCTTTTATGATGAGATTCACCCTTTTTTAAAACAGTCTTGAAACCGCTCAAGTCTGAATCACTTTTACCATCAAAAAGGCCAACGTTATTCCCACTGTATGAATTCACGATGACATTCTCCGATATGTAAAGTAATCGTTAAACCACTCGAGTCTGAATACTTTATTCATCGCAATCTGTTTGGGTGTATTATTTCATTATTACTTCATTCTGTAACCAAAACACTTTACCGGCCAAATAACCAAAACAATAAAGCAGTATCGGAAAAGTATTACACGCATAAATATACTCACCAAAAGTAATACAGAACAAATAGAACACAAAGGAAATATTACAGGCCAAAAAGATAACGGCGACATAGCCGCTAAACAAATATTACAGGCCAGAAAAAAGAACGGCAACACAGTTACTGAATAAATATTACCGACATACTAACCAAAGGATAACATAGCCAAAAGGTATCGCTCTGATACCAAATGAAAGAAACTATCAAGTCCAAAGAGATCGCATTACCTCCAGCCATGAAATCAGATTGGTTAATGCCTGCAAAACAAATTTAGAAATCCTAATGATGTTCACGCCTATACAAATCTTTATACGTGTACTTGATAGAGACAACACAGACTGTTTTTGTTAGGCATGGGACCTCTGTAAAGATACTATATGAATGAAAACGAGAGAAAAAAAAAAATCCATCATGCAAACCCTTGTTTTATTCTAATCAGATGATAACCACCATCAACTTCCCACAACCACACTGTTGTAACTTCTCACAACGTGTAACATTGTGTCAGATGCAGTGGATTAGAATATAAATGTATTGTGGCAATATAGGCCACACACGTGTTATAAATACACGTGTCTAACAAAATATTGTTCTGTCTCCTTCCCGTGAACGTAGGCATAGCTGAATCACATAAATCCTTGTCTCGTTTATGTGTGTGCCTATTTTATTTTTTTTGTCATTTATTTTTCTCTTGCTCTCATAAACTCCTATTTGATCCTTTTTTCATAACAACAAAATTATCAGAACCTGTAATGTTGGAGCCTCTGTTGGTAGTCCAGACAATTCTTGAACTAGGATGGTGAACTATAACAAGTGAAAACAAAGTGATATCTTTCTACAAATGAGTGAATTCAAAAATGAAGTCTGCGTTGTTGGACACCAAAAACATACCATAATTATCAATCCAATTATTCTGAGACCCTGCAAACCCTAGATAAATTTGGCCAATATTTTGAACACTAGTTGTAGAAGCACAGGACAAGAGGACAAGTGACAAACATGTGGATACTGAATAACGGCAGACACTCAGCAATACCTGGGAAGAGTTACTTGAATCAAATACACTGCTTATTTATAAACAAAATTAAACAAGAACTGCACAATTCTTTTCAGTATCTTTGCTCACATGAATATGCATTGAAATTAAGCAAAAAGCCTATGAGAAAGATCAAGGGAAAGCCATTCATATCAAGATTGAACCAAGAAGATTGCATGTATACATATTAGATGTGTGTGTGTTAATATATTCAATACACTCACATGCACAAATCTTAAAACTTCACAATCTACGAACTTTTTCCTTAAAGCTAAAACTTGGAAATTTTCAAACAAATTGGATCTTCTTGCTAGCTACAAATTATGGTGGTGATTGATGAATTCATCAATATATAACACAGAATTGAAAGCACACTCACCTCATTTCTTGATTGAATTTTCATGGAATCAGATGGGAGTATGCAAAACATCATGATGGATTCTTCAGTCCTGCATTGCAATTTCTATGGCATGGACATCACTTTTAGTTCAAGAGTGGGTAATGTTATGCTGATATATATGAAGTGAATAGTCAAAACGTGTATACTGCAACACATAAACTCCTTTTGCATCAAAAACTTCAAACTATTAATAAATGAAAGCAAGTTCCAGTCTGTCTCAGTTTTCTCTCTCCACTTGACTTGGGTTTTCTGTAGGGGTGACAAAATGGGTCAGGAACCATCAACCAGCCCATATCCGCTCGCCTTTTAATGGTTATGGGTGAACCATATTTAGTTTGAGGGTCAAGATGGGTTGGGTAATTTTTAACCACTTAATTCGAGGGTCAAGATCACTCATCACATAATAAACACACAACACACATTTATTCTATATTGCACTCAACTCATTTCTCTCTCTAAAAATCTCTCACTCACAATCCTCTCTCTCTCTATATTTGTCTCTCATCAATCCCCTCTTTCTAAGTTTCTCTCTTTAGAAATTTCTTCTAAAAAAATAAATAATTAAAAAATAATTTTAAATAATTAAAAATTTTAAAATAAATTTTAAAAATAAAAAATAATTTTAAATTTAAATTTTAAAAATAATTCAATAAAGCTAGGACTAATTTCCCAGTGCCGAGGGAGGTGAGTGTGAGGAACGTTAACGATGGTGGTGAGAAGATAGATGTGATGATGATCAAGAAGAGTAGTTGTAATCAAAGTCCGAATCAGAGTAGTACTGTGGAGTCGTCCGAGTTTTCATCGGCGCCGATGATTGATTCGTCGCCGTTGGATCTCAATTTCTTACGGCGCCGGAGGCGTAGATTGATTTAGCTCCGCCGTGAGGTTTCCGTTTTTGTAGCAGTAGTTTCATGTTTCTCCGGTAAACGAAATTTTACTGCCGGCGAGTCAGGTTGTCTATTTTGACCAGATCCTGCGGCCTGAGAGGATGAATCAAGACTATCTCCGTCAACTTCAGAATTAGCGGCTGATGTTCGATCATGCGGCGGCGACTTTCCAAAAAGAGAAAAATTAGTTCCAAAAAATTTAAAAATAAAAAATAATTAAAAATAATAATTAATGGGTTCACGGGTCATAACGGGTTGACCTTGTTCATTTTCAACCTGCCCATTTTTAACTTGTTCTAAACGGGTTAAATATTGGTCTTGACCTATATTGACCCGTCCATTTTCAACCCAACCTAAACCCGACCCAACCTGCCCATTTACCACCCCTATTTTCTGCCTTTAATTCAAAGTCAATTATTTTACTAGATTTTTTACAACAGGGAATGAATTCATTTTCACCAGCCTGCTTAATCATTATTTTCGAGCTGACCACTTATTCAAGAATTATACGGAAAAAAAGGTTTGGAGTCTATATGCAGTTGACGTTGTTCATTATCATTTTGCCATGGTCACTCTTATTCAGAATTACTTTATATAGGGGAAAGTCTGAAAAACACCCCTATGGTTTTAAATTTGTGCGACTTATACTCTTTTAGTTAGATTTATCCATATAAATCCCTACCAGATATAAAAAAGTGCAATTAAGCCACACCGGTGACTATTTCGGTGAGAATTGGACGCCAGTTAGTCATGTGCCATGCACATGACCATTTTAAACCCTTTATTCCGGAATTTCCCTTTTAATATTCCTTTACTACCCCCTTACCATATATACATATATTTGTATATACGGGTTTTGAACTTCTGATTCTTGTAAATTTTGTAGTTTGCAGTTACACAGAGAGAGAGAGGGGGGGTAACAAATTAAGCCACCACCTTGATTAGTTGATTTAGAAAGAAAAAAATAAAACAAAACCCATACATACAAGCATTTGCACAGAGAGAGAGGGGCAAGCTTGAGAGTTGAGAGAGAATGACGGCTGTCAAATGACAAGGAGCAGGGTGTGCGCAAAGGATTTACCCCCGTAGCTGCTTGTGTCGAGGGGTTCCATTTACCAAACATATGCTCTGATCCAATCACGTCAGAAACAAAGCTCTCAGGTCAAAAATAGGCAAGGAGCATCGCGATCCCTATTCTGATCCCGAACTGCAAATGGCGAACTTGAACTAGAACAGCAAGCGATGGAAACTAAAAGATATGGGTTTTGATTTTTTGAACAATCTGAAACGGAAACTGAAAGACATGGGTTTTGATTTTTTGAACAATCTGAAATGGAAACTGAAAGACATGGGTTTTGATTTTTTTGAATAATCTGAAATGGAAACTGGAAGATATGGGTTTTAATTTTTTAAACAATCTGAAATGATATGCCGATATGGGTTTTGATAGGTAATAGGTTTTGAACTTTTTTTTCCTAGTTAGTTTTGAACTTTTGATTCTTGCCATATGGGTTTTGAACTTCTGATTCTTGTATGGTTTTGTAGTTTGCAGTTACAGGGAGGGAGGGGGCAAGATCAATGTCGAGAATGAGAATAAAGATGGAGAGGGCTATTTTAGTCTTTTCACATTTTATGTTATATTATTAGTTTTTTTAAATCATAAATAAAAGGGTTATTTTAGTCTTTTTGTAGCTCTGGTACCGATCAATAGTGGTCAACGTCCAAAATACACTATTTCGCACCATTTTTAAAGTACAAGAGAGGTAAACAAACAATAAGAGATTATACACGCTATCTCGATATTACAAGAGTGTAAAGCACACACAACCCGTTTATATAGATATATGCGCTCACGCGCATTTTGTTTGTGCGAATTGACTTCATTCTAAATAAAAGACATAAATGACTAAATCGTAAATTGGAATAATTGAAAACCTATTATCGTCAATTACTCTTCCAAAAACTAGGGCTTTTGTTTTGTTTTGTTTTTTTTTTTTTTTTTTCCTCACATTTTCTACCGTCGATGAAGCACAATCTCCACCGTCTAATCCTCCACCGACATGGCCACCACCAATCCCACCATCCAACGCTTCGTCATATCCAACTCAGAACAACCGATTCAACCACTCAAAACCGAACTCCTCTGTTTCAAAACAGACAACATTCTCTAGTCATCATATTGAGGGATTTATTCATCATCATGCGGATGCGGATCGTATTAGTCTTTCTTACAGGTAGAGTTATTTGTTTTATTGTAATGGGGGTATTTTAACAGTTTAGATTGCTTTTGTTTTTAGCGGTTATTCATTCTTCTCACAAATCAGTGAATCACTAGAGATTCATCTCAATATTCATATTTTGGCCATACTCATTTCATGAACATGTAACTAAATTATGTATGTGTGTATATATATATATAAATATATAATAAAATTCAGTAGTAACTCTTGAATATTGATGCCATTAGTGCGCAGTCTCAAAGCAACAAACGGTAGATTTATGAATTAAAACGCAAGTCGAATTGATTGCCAGGTCAACAACTACATGCAATTTCTTTAAAAACCATACTATACCAAAGTAGCATAATTGCAATTAAATTGTAAAAATTACCCAATTTCAACATTCATTAAATCACTACCAAATGTGTGAGTTTTTTTGCCAATAATATATATATATATATATATAGTAATTAAATTATACTCTGTGATCATATTTTTACCCGTGTTAATCTTAATATTCACTTCCCTCTACCAAATATAAAATACATCAATCACAAGAGAAAAAAGTGTTTCAGTAAATTTCTATACCTACATCAATACATCAACGGTTGTGATATGCCATCCAAGAAATATCATCCACACATGATTGAGTTGTAACTTGGGTCGAGATTCCTTCCTTTGAAACTCCATTTTGCAGCTAATTGTTCTGTAAGATGCAGTATCTAATTTCTGGAATGATTCCTGTAATTCCCGTGCGAACCGGAGAGAAAAAGAAAAGTGTGTGTGTAACAAGTGAATTCACAATCACTAACAAATTAAAACAATCATTCTGCTGGAGACTAACCAATGGTTGTCTGACAAGTGTCATTGTAATTAGGGATGACAAAAATCCCAACCCTGGTGGGACCCACTCCGTTTGGGGCAGTTGAAAAACCTAACAAGTTTTGAGTCAGTTATAGGGGTGAAAAAAATTAAACGGGAATAAGGAATGAGATAACAAGTTTTGAAGCAGTTATAGGGGTGAAAAAAATTAAACGGGAATAGGGAATGAGATCTCCGCCCATTGCCATCCCTAATCATGATCCTCACTCCTAAATCAGTGTCATCTTCAGAAGCCAAAATGTCTACAGTTGGGATGGCTGTGTTCTTGGTTGCTGGCTCAGTTATTGACTGGTTCTGGATCATTGCTCTTTGATTATATGGGCTAGTTGATCTGCGAGTAGGCTATTATTCTACAAATAGAAATCAGCCAATCAAGGTAATGCCTACAAACAAATTAAGGATATCCTATTCAGTAAGAGAGGACTTATTTTTAATAGTTCTTGAAAATTTTATAAAACCTAAGTTGTTTCTCTGTTATATTTCATAAATCTGTTATCTTCTCTAATGTGAAACAATTCAGTATTCTAGACACTGATGAATTTCCATAATCAGTTTTAAAACTAAAATCTGGAACAAGATGCCAAATGTTCTGTTTGGTTGCTATTCACGCAAGTTAACAAAAGAAAATTTGGAATATTATATCACCTTCATATTGATGGAAAATAAACAAAGAATAATAATAGATGTCTTATGTCCTAAATCAACCAAGAATGTATCTATCAGACTTGATCAATTGTTTGGGATACTAAATAAATCGAAGCTCCAAACAAAATGATAATAATATAGGTATCTTAACAACATAATAACTTGTTCATTTTACCACTTCTTTCTCAAAAGCTTAATCTCTTATTATCTTGAACCAGATAACTGCGCATCAGAAAGATCTGCACCACTGTGGCAGCTTGGAGATCCAACTGAAACGCACTCCTCTCTGATAGGTTTAACAAAATTTTCAAAGAAGTGGGAAACCATCTGAGGAGGTAGAGCTACAGCACAGGATCCTTCAAGCATTTGAACTACTTTACCCATGGATGGTCTTAGCGACATGTCCCTCTGTATGCACCACAAAGCAACTTTAGTTGCAGTAAGTACCCTCTCGTCGCTTTCATCAGTATTAAGCTTTGAATCAAGTATCTCTTTCAGCCTCCCTTCTTCTAGCATCCTGAGGGCATAAGTGGGGAAGTGGGCTTTCTCTGAACTCACCTCTGGCTTGAAGTTCCTCCTTCCCCCAATGATTTCAAGCAAAACCATGCCAAAGCTATATACGTCACTCTTCTCTGATATGGGAATGTCTGTTACCCACTCTGGTGCCAAGTAACCCCTTGTACCTCTTGCCATTGTGACCACACAACTTTGTTCCCTTGTCATCAGCTTTACCAAACCAAAATCAGAAATTTTGGCTTGGTAGTTGTCATCGAGAAGCACGTTTTCGGGTTTTATGTCACAGTGAACAATCTTTACACTGCAGCCCTCGTGGAGATAAGCCAATCCTTTTGCCATTCCCAGAGCTATTTTGAATCTTGTTTCCCAGTCCAATGTTAAACCTTCACGGCCGTCGTTGAAGATCCATCTATCCAAAGACCCATTTGTCATGTACTCGTAAGCAAGAAGGCAGTGAGTCCCCTCTTTACAGAAGCCTCTGAGCTTCACCAAGTGGACATGGCGAATACTGCCTATGGTGGTGATTTCGGCTTGAAATTCTTTCTTACCCTGACCAACACCCTCCAGCTTCTTCACAGCAATTTGAGTCCCATCTTTAAGCATCCCTTTATAAACGGAGCCAAACCCACCATGCCCGAGTATCACAGAGAAGTTGTTAGTGGCGGCTTGAAGATCTTTGTATTGAAATCGGATGGGCATATGAGATAAACTGTCCATTTCTTCCAAAGCAATGTGGGAAGAGAAATCCTCCTCTCCCATGACATCTTTAAAAGATCCAAATACTCTTTTGCTTTTCTGATGGTACCAGACTCCCAAAAATAGTAAACCAACAATAGGTAACAAAACTGCAGATGTAATAATTAAATTGAGGAGCAAGTGTTTCTTGCTACTGCTCTCTCGTGCTCTGGGGTTTAGCATGTGATCTTTGTTACTAGGGATTTTAGTATAGGAAAGAAACCTGGAGGAGCCTTGTTGATCCCGCCGTCTTAAGCTTCCCACCTCATCAAACAGAAAGCAATTCCCGGATTTGTTTTCGAAGAACAACATGAGGCATGAACAATTACCAAGGCAGACATCCACGCAACCAGAAAGACTGAAGTTGGGAAATGGTGTAATAAACTCCAGAGCAAAATAGTCGACTTCATCCCCCATTTCTAATAACACTTCCGAACTTTTTGAGCCATTGCAAGGAGAGGAGATCCAAGGGTTGCAACTTGGAAAGGTTTCAAACCCTGGAAAGCATCGACAAGTATTGTTATTTTCACAAATACCATAAGGACCACAAGGTTCAGGCATGCTGCACTGATCACCGTTTGGTATCTTTATTGGTTCTGCACCAATGGAGCCCCCATTTTGTAGATTGTAGAATAAGATAAAACCATCAGATCCTAAAACTGCAGCCCAGGTAAGATTAGGACTATTATTGTTTGAGAACACAAATTGTTGGACTAGAGTCTGGTTGCGATCAAAGAATTTCCAAGAATTGGAAATCGAAGCTGAGGTGATTTCCCCATATTCGTTGTTAATGATTTTCCGCATCTCCTTTGCCAGAGACCAATAAGGCTGAGGAGTTTTGAATCCTCCATAGAGAATCACTTTCCCCAACTTCATTTCCAGGTAAAAGCTAAAGTTGTTGATATTGGGCTCACTTACAAGTCTCATTCCATCAAAGAAAATTTGATTCGGTAAAAGGGTGTCTGTGGGATAGCTAAAACTCTGCCAAAGCGGTTTAGAATCATTACCAATCAAAACCAAATTGCCAGAGTCAAGCAACTTCATGGCAGTAACTCCTTTACCTGCAGTAGCTGTGGACCACGCTATACCTCCTTGTTTCTCCAAGTATGCATTCCCAGTTTTGTCAAACACAAATTTATCAGAACCTGTAAGGGTGGAGCCTCTGTTGGCAGTCCAGACAATTCTTGAACTAGGATAGTGAATTATAACAAGTGAATTCAAATTGTTATCTTTCTGCGGAGTAATGAATCCAAGACTGAAAACTGAGTTGTTGGAGAACAAAAACATACCACCATTATCAATCCAGTTCAGCGAAGACCCTGCAAATTCTGGTTTAATTTGGCCAATCATTGGAACATGGGCAGAGGCAAAGGACATAAGGACAAGTGACAAACATATGGATGCTGAATATTGGAAGACATTCGGCAATACCTGGAAAGAGTTATTTGAATCAAATACACCTGCTTATTTGTAAACAAAATTAAACAAGAGCAACACAATACTCTAAATCACGAATACACATTATTTATGCCTACTTAAAAAGAGAGAGACCAGAAATTTGGAATACAGCCCACATGAATACGCATAAAAATCAATCAAAAAGCCTATGAGAGATCAAGGGAAATCATTCATATCAAGATTGAACCAAGAAGAGTGCATGTATACCTATTAGATGTGTGTGTGTCTTTATATATTCAATGAATTCACATGTACAAATCTTAAAACTGCACAATCTAAGAACTTTCTCCTAAAAAGCAAATTAAAAATCTTCAAACGAAATGGATCTTCTTGCTAATTACTTTCTATCTCTAGGACTAACTGCAGCCTCACCTCATTTCTTGCTTGAATTTTCATGGAATCTTCTTCTTAAGATGAATCTTAATTCATGGGACTTAAGATGAATCTTCTTCTTCTTCTTCTTCTTCATCAGGCCTGCTTTGCTATATCCATGGCATGGACAACACTTTTAGTTCAAGGTGTTTTGACTACTCAAGGGTGGGTATGCTGATATGAATTAAAGTCAAAATGCATGTGAACACTGCAACACAACTCCTATGCATAAAAAATTCAAACTAGCCTACTACTAATCAATAAGTTCCAGTCTCTCTCGGTTTCATCTCCACTTCACTTGGGTTTTCTGGGGTTTTCAATAAGACTTTTTTTGTTTTAAAAATAATAATAATTAACACTGAAATGGGGAAACATTTTTTTTTTTTTTTTTAATATATCTATTAAAAAAAAAAAAAAAAAAAAAAAAAATTAACTTAGTTAAAAGACAACCATAAAGTACAGTTCTTTTCTGGACATAGTCAATGATCTACTAATAGTTAATAATCGTGGAGGCTATGGAGTATGTTAAATTTACACTCTTTTCACAACCACCACATTAATAATTCTAAGAGTCAAAAACAATTCATGAATCTTATCTCTATTGCAAAGTCAATTCTTTGACTGGATTACTGTAACCAGTCAAGCACGCATGTAACAATTTGTCAATGGGAATGAATTCATTTTCAACAGCCTGCTCATTGATTAAGTCCGAGATGACCACTAATTAATGAGTGTTAAGGAAGAAAATTTTGGAGTCATTAAGTAGTCATTTTAATGCAAAATAAATAAATAGTATAGTAATTATTGTTAAGTACAATTTGTTTTTTTTTTTTTCTCAATACCTTGAATAGACAGAAAATACATAAATGATGAGTTCATTTGTCAAAAGTTGATTTAAAGTCATAGAACAGGTAGGACTTCCACACAGCAAGTCTTTTCTAACCCATTTCGTAAGAAGGAATAGAACAGAAATGAACAGAAAATCTTTAAAATCTTTCCATTTTTATTTTTATTTTTTTTTCTTTTCCCAGTCAAATAAAGGAAAATAATAAGTTGATAATTTTTATTTTTTTACCTTCCCTTCCTTTTCACGATTTGTCCATGTTCTCCTATCAAAAAAAAAAAAAAAATTATGATGTTTCCTATTTTATGAGGGAGTGCACTCTGTGCCTTTGTATATATTTCATTTATACAACAATTCATTTAAATATATATATATATATTCTCTTATTAAACCAAACAAAGCAAGGAAATTAATCACAATTTCTTTCTCCATTTTTTCTCCTTTAATATTCTATTTCCTATTCCTACAAAAAAAAAAAAAAAAAAAAGGAGCTAATTGTTCTGTAACATGCAGCATCTCAATTCTGGAATCATGATTCCTGTTATTCCCAAATGAGAAAAGAAAGAAAAAAAAAAAGGTTTTGAACACACCAAATTTGTAGTATTTCCCTACGGATTCCCAGCGATCGAACAGAATATAGTGGTTTAGATGGCATGCCCAAGTTCTTTTTTGAACTATTATTTATTTTCCATAAAAATATGTTCTCATAGAGAAAAATAGCATAATAAGCATAGAGCAGAACCAACATAACCAAAACCATAATCCAAGGAGGCCTAAAGCAGGTACCATTTGTCAATACTCAACACATAATTCCCCAGCTATGCTTTACACTGCTTGTGTACCCTGTTTGAATAGCAGAGATGCGAGACTCGCTCTCCATCCAAATACCATAGAGGGTTCAGTTTTTTGGGTATAAGAGAATGCAAACCAGTCTGTAAGCTGTGATTGAGGGAGGTCTCTGGCTTGGCACCAGTCCCTGTCCGGAAAAAATTGGTATAAACAAAAAATTGAAAATCCATTGACTTGAAAGGAAAAATTCCAGCTATATTCCAATCAAAAAGTATATATAGAAGATGCATTTTAATATAGGCACTTGCCCATCCAAGGTGTCTCACTTGATATGAGGTAGTTACATCTCAATGAGAATCCATTATATCAATATCAGGTCCACCTTCAGGTGTGTGCACATGTGTGTCTGCAAGCGTGGGCATGCATTTGTATTTGTGTTTGTGTGTGTGAGAGAGAGAGAGAGAGTTCATACATGGGAAGCAGTGGGCCTTCATATGCAAATGTTGACATGCTTGACGTTGCTTGTGCTTGGGGTTGGCTGAGCATAAAACGTGTACCCTCCCATGACGTTTGACTGTCCTACAGAACTCGCACATCTTCTTTACTGATGATCACACCTTCATAACTATTAATGATTGCAGTCAAGAATTTCAGAGTTACAACATTGAAATTAAGTATACCATCAACAAACAAAATGCAGCGGAAATGCTGTCAGCAAGAATCATCATGCTAAGGAAGTGACAACCCTACAACATGGAAATTAGTTATACCGACAACAAACAAAATGCAGTGAAGATGTTGACAACAGGAACCGCCATAATAACCCCACCAAATCCCCCCGGAGAGGAGGAAAAAAAAAAGTGGGGACAAAAAGCTTCAAATGGATTGCATGATGAAGGGTTACCTATTCATATCAAACCCACTAACTGTTAACCTGCACCCTATTGGACGCAAAACTCGTTGCAGGGAGCTGATGGTAGTAAAAAAGTGGTAAGATTTTCAATATGTTGGCATATTGACAAATTATTTGCAACATTTTAATACAGATAATATCAACTTTGAAGCTTGAAATTTTATTTATAATTTAAATAGCAAGATATCATCCAGCTATTTTACTGAGTAAAAGGTCCAAAAATCTTCCTATTGGGATTAAGGCCATGATCATATCTTCCTTTGTAGAAAGAAGCCTTCCAAATAAAAACGAAATAAAAGAATAAAAGCGACAAAGAAAAAGACCAGATGACAAAAAGAAAAACTGTTTACCACTATGAACAATTTGTGAGTTCTTAAGAAAAATATCCAAGTAAAAATTTACCCATTCGTTTGATAAATGCAACGAGGGACTTTAACCCTATAACTCTCTCTTGGGAGTGGCAAGAGATAAATGAAGAAATTGTTTCAATCAAATTCAATATGTAGCTTTCCAGGGTTTGAAAACACATTCTCACCATATCTCAATTTTTTTGACAATGTCACTCATTTTCCGAGCATACCACAGCACTCCATGTGAAGCCTCTAAAGTCTCTCTTCTGTAGCTGTTTCCACCATGATAAAGTAAATCTAAACTGTGCGGCTATATCCATTCAGATGTCTATTAGAAGGCCATTCTTTTGGCATCGATTTTTAGCCTTTGCCATACCTGAATTGGCTTTCATTTCGCCGAAAATTAGTTTACTCCCATGTTAGAAGTGATTGGCCCATTACAATAACAGGCAATAAAATTTAGTCACTGATATAGAAGAGGTTATTTTTTTCTATCTTATCTCTAATATGTACTTTAACTAAATAGGCTTTTCCACAACATTTTCCAACTTACACCTTCAGTACACAATTTCAGGTTAAAGTAACATGAATGGTCCATCTCCATCAGCACTGTAAGTAACATTCCGGAATAGAATTTTACTATCTTCTCCTGATAGTATAAGTTCAGACATTTTTTTCCATAATTTGTTCTCGTCTGAACTAGGATTTTTGTCTCAATTCTCAAATTGGATTAAGTATTAGCTAATACAGTAAATTCCAACCTTGTATAACCATAAAATCTCCCACAAACGAAAAATTTGCAGTCTGTAAAACAATATAATTCACCAATCAATCTAAACAAAATCTGTGTTCAGAAAGAAATCCAATAGAAGGAACTAAAAGTAAATTTCATTTCTTTCATCCAAAGAGCCTCAAACGATACGATTTCACAATTTCCATTTACAAGAATCCAAAACGCCTAAATCTTAACCTAGCAGGCTAGCACTTCAACAATTAATCTAAGCAAACAAAATTCTAAGTATGAATTATCGTTACTTCTACAGTAACTAATTTATGGATCATTTATGAACCCTCCTAGAACAACACCAAAAACGCAAAAGCAGAAATGCACGGGAAACATATTAAGCATAGTGTATATATACATAGTTCCCAGTGATATATAATAATATACATACAAGAGCGCGCGAACGTATACGCAGTTCCGAATGAGATATATATACAATCGCGAGCACACACTCACACACACATAGATATATAAAGTTTTGAGTTATATTATACACGCACGACACATATACATATATAGAGAGGGGGAAGAGAGAGAAGAACCTGATTGATCGGAGAGGACCTAATATGAGTAGAGTTGTGATCTGTGAAAGCAGAAAATTGCAGAGCGCTAAAGATAATCGGAGAATGTGTTGGGCCTAATCATAAATAGTGAAGATCAGGCCCATTGATATGGACCAATGGAAAAGAAGTCGTAGTCCATACAGTATTTGGACAATGAGGTATGCAATTCACCCGGCCCATGACACCCGTACAAAGTTTATTCATTTTAGCAAATGTGCCAAAACTTGTGTAACAACGGGTATTATGATCATTTCATATGGACAAGTGAACTCTCTCATGAATAGTAGCTTTTTATGTAATTCTAAATATTAAATCTCATGAAATTATAATGAAAAATCAAAATAATATATACTATGTATGAGATAATGATTTGAAGTCTGTAAGAACCCCAATGAGTCTGGCTCAATTACTCATCAATTGGTTAAGTTACTTATTAATCATGGTGCCTCACGACGCATCAGGTCTAAGGTTTTACTTTTCTTGGGTGGAATCAATTCCTAGTAATTGACTAAGAAAAAAACAAAGGATTTAAAGTCCTTATTTGAAGATTTTGATGGAACATGAACGCTATATGTTTTTTTGGGCTAAAGGTCCATTTGGAGGATGTAAATGAGAAGGGGAATGATTGGGAGGAAAACCAAAGTTTGTATTTGCTTTTGAAAATTGAAGGAAAATGGAAGGATTTCGAAGAACACTAACTACTTTGCGCAGTAATTTTCTTATCCTTAAAAAAGTGAAAGAGAACAGTCAACACTGGAAAAATACATAAGAATTGATAATTTCCTTACTTTGCCCTTTTTTTATTTGATGATGAGTTAATTCTCAATAACTCACAAAATAAAACAATTATTTTCTTAATTTTCTCTTTATTATCTTTTGTCAAATGCAGGGGAGAGCTATAGCCGTCTTTTCTCTCTTGAGAAATAAACATGAAGAAGGGGTCAACATTAACTTCTATTTTTTTTTTTTTTTTTTTTCAGTAGCTAATATTTTTTTCTACTCTTTGTTCTTCTACTTAACTGAACAAAGTCTAAAGCCTTGTGTCACGGTTTTAGAGTTTTAGCACCACTATAGCTAAACTCGTACGGCACCAAGGCTTCTACTCGCGCAAATACATGGTCGGCCTAACTCCTGTGAACACCTTAGTCAACACACTCGTTTCGTGCGCTTACTAGTATTGTAGTGGCACTCGCCTTCACTCACTTGGCTTGCACGTACACTCACACACCCTTGGCCATGATTTAATTGGCAAGGAAAGTAGGAATGGCAACGGGGGGCAGAGTTGGGGTGGACTTGGGACTGGTATATAATTGGTATACCATCCCCGCCCCTACTCTGGTAGACAAAATATTGTCTCCGTCCTGCATATTCCGTTTAATTGAGGTAAAGTTGAAACTGTTGAATTAATTCCTGGACATGGGATAGAATACTAAGAGCATCTCCAACCGTTGTATATATTTTTTTGTATAAACTGATGTGTCATGAGGGATTTACACAAAAAATTTGAATTATTTAATTTTAGCTCCAATGGTTGTTTTATACCTTTTGTGTAAAAATATATCGTCCAATAACAATCAACCATATGTCATGCCAGGACCTATATAACTTTTACAAACTTACTTAATATATGGTTGATTCTTTAATAGAATGAGAAAGAGGGATGAAAAATGAAATATGTTGATTTGGCCGTGTAAAAAGTGTTGTGTAAGATATGGCAATGTATCTTAACAGACTGCTGGAGATAGAAAAAATTTACACATCATAAGTGGCAATGTATATTTTGCACAAAATGGTATTTTAACATACCGCTGGAGATGCTCTAAGATCTTGCATCCTTGATTGATTCTTGAAGATTGAATCACGTGAACAATTCTAGAATTTTAGTAAGTAGTGATTCTAGTGAATATTTAGTCAAAATATATTAATGGACAATTAACTTAAATATTATATATACATATAATTGAGGTCAGGGCGGGGGTGAGGTGGGGGTATCACTAAATCCACCCCCGCCCCAAACCTGCTTCGGGTTTTCAATTTTTTTTACCATATCCACCCCCAAACCCATTTATGGAGTTACCAAATCCACCCCATTAGGAGCGGAGCGGGGCGAAAACCGAACGGATTGGAGGAAATTACTATTCCTTAAATAAAGAACACTTCTATTACTTCAAAGAATACTTTTTACAAAGCTAGCTCTTAAACTCTCTACAAGGCTTTTAAGACTCACTCTAGGACTTGATGATTACAAAATGAAGTCCTACTCCTATTTATAGTGTGACGTTTCCGATTTTCAACATTTTTCATTTTTTAGAATTTTTGTCGCCGCAAGGGCATTTCTGTCTTTTCACATTTTGCGTGCGGAATTGTGGTTGAGTCCAATTGCATTTCATACATTTTAATTTATGAGAATGATGTAGTATTTGGATGATGTGCATTTATATGTTTACATGGTGTATAATGGAAAAATAAAGAAAAAGGGAAAAGAAAAGAAAATTGGTGGGCCCCACCACTATTGTTTAAATGGTCTAGAGACCACATTTTCCTACCATTTTTCTCTCTCCCGCTGGTTCTTCCTCTCTCTCATTCTCTTCCATTTTTCTTCTCTTTTTGGAAACAATCTTTGAAGCTTGATAACCCTTTCAATCCTTAGAGTTTTTGAGTACCGTTTGAGGCAAAACGGAGAGCACGACGAGCTCTACGCGTTAGTGTAAGCAATTCTAGCTTTGGTGCTTCCCTTGGATTTCGAAATTCTTGATCATTTTAAGGGTTTTGCTCAATTTGAAGTAGGGGCTTCCTAATTCACATTATTCATGCACCTTTGTGAATTAACTTACTTGAATTGTGTTATAGCATGCTTATTTGTGTTAATTATAGCCTAAAAATGTCTTGAATGTATATATGTGAATATGTGAAGACTTGTCTTGATTGGACTATTTGAAAAGCATGTTTATATTATGAGTTATGCCTATTGTATTATTCACATGCTATGAATGGTGTATGAAAGCATGTCCTATTGTATTTTGTGATAATCCATTGTTGTTTAAATATTAAAAGTATGAGAACATGCTTACTTGTGTGGTGTCAAATTACTCATTTTCATAGTATTGAGATCATGACACATGCATGTACACCATTGGGTTGCATGAAGGGAAGAAACCGTTTTTGAAATGAAAATGGGAAGTTTTGGGAAAGAATGTTTTAATGAAAGTGTTTTGAAAAACCCGGTCGCTGCGGGGGTACCAAAGAGCCGGAGGTTAATATAGCCTAAAGGGGACTAAGGAGTCGCCCCAACGTGGTTGAGCTAGCTGGGGCCCATAATGAGGCCGCGAGGGTACCAAGGGTCAAGGACACTAGCCAATCCTCCTCTCGTGTCGCTGTGGGGTCACCAAAGGGCGGGTTGTATTAACAGTTGAAAGCAATGATTTTGATTGTGGAAATGGGGAGCGACATTGGCATGTATTGCATCTCCATTGCATCTTATTAATTGTGTTGAGAATGATCACTATGTTGTAATCTCCCCTATGTTGTATGACCCCAACTCGTATTGGCCTATTCTTTGTTGTGGATTCATGGAGTCTCATGAGGTGCGTTTTAGGCGTCACCTACTGAGCAAATTGCTCGCCCCACCATACTTATATTTTTTTTTCAAGTCATGGCAAGGAAATGGCGGATGAAAATCCTCCGCAAGCTTGAAAGTCGTTAGAAGATGATTTTTGCTATTTTGTATTTGGCCATTTCATGTGTAATTGTAGTTTTGGGAATGTAAATAAGTTTGTATTCATGGCCATTGAGAAAATGTAATTAACTTTTAATTACACTAAATCCTCTAGTGTATTTTAGTGACGTATGGTAAATTATGTTAATAACGTGGTTGTTGTTATTGAATTTATTGTTGAAATGTATTAAAATTACACGTAAGTGTATTGGCGTGGGTGGTGGGACGACCAAATATTGGTGTATATGGGTTACATAGGACAGTGGGAAGTGGAAGTGAAGATTTCCCAGAACCGGTCAACGTATGGTTTCCTAAACGTCAACCGAAACGTCAACCGGTATCTTCACAGTGTGGGTTAATATTGAATACATTCCAAACCAGTCGATGTATGGCATCCTATACGTCGACCGGTATCACGTCCCAAACCAGTCGGCGTATAGCTTCCCATACATCGACCGGTATCTTGGCAGTGGGTATTTCCACTGTTCATATTCAAACCAGTCGACGATGCATATACGTCGATCGGTTTATATCACTTAAGTAATATGTATTTAGTTTCCCAAAATTTCACTTTGGCACCTAAGTGAGGTTACGCGTAATTATTTTTATGACCCAAATAAGTGAAATAATTATATTTTAACTACCGAAAGGACTGTATTGCCCCGAACCTTATTTTATTGATTATGTGATGCGATAAATGACTGTTATACCCTTTGAGTCTCAAATTATTGATTTGTAGTAATTTACCATTTTGCCCTTTTGGACATTGATATTTAAATTTAACGTGAAATGACAATATTACCTTCGGACGTTTCTGGGTCGGTTAATGACCCGTTTAATAATCCGGATCCATGTGAAGCTGGGTCGTTACATATAGGCACCCCCATCTAGTGACGGACCCAGGAAATTTTGTCATGGGGGCATCCTTTTAATAACAATTTTTTTTTTTTTTTTTTTTTTGATAATTAAGCAACAAAATAAATACTTTCAGAAATTGCATATTATAACAGAATGTGTGCCTGTGTTGTTGTACATTGTAATAAAAAAATTAAATTAAATTAAATAAAAAAGAAATTAAATATTCAGAAATTGCATATGCATTGCTATTAGAAAAAATAAATCAAAAGGCGTACTTGTACAAAAGAACTTAATCTTGCAAGTTGCAACACTAAACACTCCCAGACTCCCAGTATTAGTTGCATTTTTCAGGTGATTAAACGAGCATAGAGTTAAGCAACCCAGCAACCAA